CTGCCGGCACGGAGCTGGTGACTGGGTTCCGGAGCCCGATGCAGGTGTTTGCAGCCAGCCTGGGCTCTGGGCAGCTGCACCAAGCAGCGGGCTGGCTGCAAACAGCTGCGCCAGGCTCCATAGCTCCGGCATCACCTCGATGCCGGTAGTGACTGCATGGACACCTCGGGGCAGGCTGTGCTGCCCCGCTGTCTGCCCCAAGGTGCCTGTGCAGTTGCTGCTAGCACAGAGCTGATGCCAGAGCTGTGGAGCCCAGTGCAGCTGTTTGCAGCCTGCTTGCTGCAGCTGCCCCAGAGCCCAGGCTGGCTGCAAACAGCTGCACTGGGTTCTGGAACCCTGCCATCATCTCACCAGGAGTTGGGGAGAGACTGGGGCTGCACCGCCTCAGGCCCCTCCCCTATCGCCCTCTCCAACGCGCGGGTGCACGTGCCAGTAGGTAGCTGATGCTGGAGCCCGGCACAGCTGTTTGGAGCCTCCCGGCTGCAGCTAGGCCCAGCTCTGGGGAGCTGCTGCCAGTCTAGAGCCTGGGCTGCTCCCAGAAGGCAGATGGGATGCTGCAAGCCCTGCTGGGAGCAGCCCAGGCTTCAGCAGCTACCCAGAGTCAAGGTAGCTGCTGGCAGCCACAGAGCCTGGGATGGGGGGCACAGGGCAGCAGGACTAGGGAGCAGGGGCTTTGGGTGGGGGACACGGGGCACAAGCAGGGCATCCTGCCCTGTACCCCTTGCCCTCATTTTGTTTTTCTGGCATGCCAGCACTCCGGCACCTTCCAAGATAGGCTTTGTGGTGTTTTTTGGCACTCTGGCCAAAAAATGTTGCCTACCTCTGCTGTAGGGAAAGATCCAAATATAAGGAATCTCTCTTGCTGTTGCTTTTTACACTGCATTTGTTCTGTAAGTTGAGGACTGTGATCCTCTGGGACTGCCTGTCCAATACTCTCATTAGCATTGAATTCACAGACAGAAAAGAGTTGGTGTTTGGTTATATTAAAAAAAATGTGGTAAATAATGAGATAATTTGACTTGCAGATCTCTTAATAAAGTTCATACTGAATAGTATTAAATCTTTTCACACCACTATACAGCTAGTAAGTAGAATTAATGGATATAAAGTATACCATGAAATTTCATGTCGGTTCGTAAGGGTCTGGGAGACTGACAGCTTTGGTAACTATGGCTGTATAACATTTTCCATCCTAATCTCCTTTATTAGTCTTTTGTTAGCTTTCTAAAACTTCTACCCTTTTGGACTGAATTTGTGTGCGTGTGTTTTCTGCCCATAATAAAATTTAGGGAAGTTTGAATAAAATGTTTTATGTTACTTTGAGAATTAAAGGAGTGGGGAAATTTGATGCTTAAAAATTGTAGAATAGCTTATAGTGTCACAATTAAAATATTGAAAGTTTTAAATTTGACTTAAAAATAGCCTTCATTTCAGAGACAAACCCTGTTCAGCATTCTGGTGAGAGCTGTTTTGGATTTGACCAAGTTACAAGTCTTTTAGAATCGTAAGCTGTACATGGACAGTACTTTTACTAATTATCTGCTGATATATTTTGTTTAGGATTATGTTGGTGATTTAGCAGCTCAAATTTCAAATGGCGAAGAGGAGGAATTTGTGATAGAATGTCTGGGAACATTGGCAAATCTGACCTTACCTGACCTGGACTGGGAACTCGTGCTGAAAGAATACAAACTAGTTCCATACCTCAAAGATAAACTAAAGCCAGGTCTGTATTAAAAGTGGTTAGCATTCCAAAATGGTCTGTTTTCCTGTAGTGTCTTTTGGATGTATGAATTAACGTAAGTCCTGAAAACCAAAACAACAAGCCCATAGCCAAAGATTCAGCAAAGGGCTTTCTTACACACACAGCTATCTGCTATTTAATTTACCAGGTTCTGCAGAGGATGACCTTGTTTTAGAAGTCGTAATAATGATTGGAACTGTGTCCATGGATGACTCCTGTGCTGCTCTTCTAGCCAAATCTGGAATCATTCCAGCACTCATTGAACTTCTAAATGGTATGTTATCCAATTCCTTCTGGGACTATTTTTTCAAAGGTTCTTAATATCTGTACTTCCCAGTTGACCTAGATGCCACCACCAGGTATAACTTAGGAGAAGCTACTGCTGTCCTTCATGCGAGTGTGGTGCTATAATTCTATCACTGGCAGAGACTGTGCTGAACAAAGGTCCAGGGGCATAACTATGGATGGGCAACAGGGACATGACTGGGTGCCAGTGTGTAGGGAGTAGAAGAACTGTGCTGCCATTACTACCAACCTAACTGCTACTGCCTTTGCTGCTGCTGCCCAGGATTCAGAACCTTGTTTATGCCTCTGCAAAGGTCTAGTCAGCTTGCTTTTTCCACACCAGTCCAGTTTTTATCAAAGTCAGTTGGAGTCTAGAGGCTGACTCTGGAAGTTGAGTGAAGCTCTGAAAGCTTTGTGTTTGTGAGTGGGAATGATTATTAGAAACTGCAATCAAAATGTTGTCTGCACTCTCCAGTTTATCTAAGAGCCTGACACAGTGCTTGTTAATATATAGTAGTAGCCTACTCTGTTTCAGTGACTTGAATAAATGCTTTTCTCTTTTCGTCAAGCTCAACAGGAAGATGATGAGTTTGTCTGCCAAATCATATATGTCTTTTACCAGATGGTCTTTCACCAAGCCACTAGAGATGTCATCATCAAGGAGACTCGTATCCTTTTTAAATGTGAAACCTTTAGAATTACAGTGCTTTTAATCTGCTGTTGTTTCTACATGTGCTTCTCATGTGATGGAAATCCTTCACTGTAATTTTGTAAACTCCTAAAGATAAGATTGATTTGGTATAATTTCAATCAAAATAATGTCCAAATATTTTATTTGTAAGATATAAGGATCTTTAGAAGATATTATGCAGACAGCTTACATATGGTGGTTAAAATGAGGATTGATAACTTTTTGTATCACACCATGTTATCAATGTGGTATGTATGTTGCATACTCTACAGAAAGAGTAGTAAGTAATATGAAACATTTGGGTATGACTGTTTCTTATACCCTTTTCCTTGTAAAGCTATGTACCTTAGAGACCATAATTTCAGCTTTAACAGGCTCAGAGGGAAAAGTAAAATTGAGTCAACTTCTGACACACCTGCCATTTCTCATCTCTCCTCCTGCTCCTCTCTTTTCTTTAAAGCAACTGTCATCTAGTTTTTTTTTACTTCCTACCGCAAGAGTTCCTGTTGTGTATTGCTCTCACAAACCATTCCTATCCTTCTTCTCTCTCTCTTTGATTTCAATTCCTTGCTTTCTTTCCTTTAGTCTGTTTCTGTGCTAATGGCCATTCTGTTTTTGTTCATTTTGCTTCAGTTTGTTGACTTGCTCAGTTTGAAAGAACTTTAAGTATAACCCCTGTTCTCCATTTATCACTTCCTCTTGCTATCTTTTCTGTTTTGAAATATGATTTAAATTGGGGCCCAGTCCAGACCCACTGAAGTCAGTTGAAGGGCAAGTTTACTACAATGGGCTTTTTTAATCGGATCTCAGATTTGTATGCTTTTCATGTCAAATCATGTTTGCCTTGCATTCTGTGAAATGTCTAGCATGCTGTAGATAGTACATAAGCAGCAAGTAATAGTAATGATTCCAAAGCCACCTAAAATATCTTCCAAATACAAAAATATAATGCAGTGTATGGTCTGATATTTTTAGTCTTTACTGAACTAAGAATATATTTTGTGTAGAAACCTGGGAGATCTTGGGTATAATATTGTAGGATACCTGTTCCTAGTTCTAAAAGGTCACAAGATACCAGTTTCACATTTGGTCACTTAGTAGCCAGATGTGCCCATCATGTCCCTTTTCCACTCTAAGAACTACTACTTACCTGTTATAAGAGTGCTTTTTTTCTTTAAGCACAGATTCACTTGCTCTTCTCCCCACAGGAGCTTGCTTTCAATCCTTTTGTTTAATCAGGCTAAAAGGTTTTGAGAGATCCTGGGACTTACTGGAGGGAGTTGCATGTTTTAGTAGTGTTGCACCAATTTTGCTATAGATTTACCATATTTACTCAAATATAAAACAAGTTGCATGCGTCAGTCCCACCAGTCAACATCAGGGAGAGTCTCTTGTCTTAGATTTGTGTACAAAGGGGTGAGGGGCAGGCAGCTGCTGTGGGTCTGACTGGCCCTGGCCCTGGCCCTGACCCTGGTCGGGGCCAGTGTCAGACAGACAGCAGTCTCCATATATTTTTATATAGAGCAGTCTGTCTGTATATTTACCTGTGCTCACTGCAGTTACCATCATGTGAAACTGTTAGGTCCCTGACACATGTTACAATTAAGGTGTGATTAACATTTTAGTTCTACCATAAATAGTAGCAGTGCTACATGTGCAGCTGATTTATGGAGCCATAAAGTGACAAATAAGCCACAAAAATATTCCATAAAATATGTAAACCATCCTTTCGGCCATAATTTGCACAAATAACATGCCCGTGCCGATGCTAACCATCAGCTGATTGTCAGTATTGGCATTGGGATGGGATTCAGCAATGGGATGGGGACAGTTCCGGTCTTGATGCCAAAAATGGGCTGCCAGGGAAACAGGTTGTAAGGTTTCCTGGCAGGGCAGACAGAGTCAAGGGATTTCCTTTGCTGGGAACTTAGCAGAACCTGTGCCTGGCAACCTCTCCTGCCTTGTTCTACAGCCCCTGTGGGGATGTGGGGCAGGACACTTTAAAACAGTGGATCTTTGGAGCTAACAGTAGTATAAAACTCTTCTTGACTGCCTTTACCCCTCAGGTCCCAGAGCAGCTGAGCTTCATACATGGTTTGTAAAAGTCTCAGCAAACAGGGACTTGGGGACTGGGGAGATGCTTCTTGATCCTGGGGTCCCTGCAGGGAGTCTGTGTGTATTGAGTGCCAGGCAGGAGGAGTCAGTCAGCTGATTTCCACCTCACTCCCCCCCAACACACTCTCCCCATCCTGCACTTGCAAACCCATGCCTTGGGCTCCCTGCTGGCAGTGGCCCCAACCCCAACAATAGTACCTCCTGCCATGCACGTGGCATGATTGTGCCATTAAGTGAATGTCTGCTCACCCTCTGATTCCAGGTAAACAATGCACTCTGCAGATCTAATAGTAGCCAGTCTTTCCTTTGTTTTCTCCAGCAAGGCCTTGAAGGTACTATATGATTTATACTGAAGTACTTCAGTATCTTGCACCAACATCCATTTCTTCCATTTCCTATAGTCTTCCTGACCATAATACCTCCATTCGTGGTTGTTTTTAATTGCGGGGAGGGGCATGTGTTTTTACTTCTGTATAGTCATATAGTCAACAACAGCAACAAAAAAAATGCAGTTTGAGTAACATCTCACTCATCTAGCCAAGAGCAGACCTGTAGAAGTATATTCCAGGTTTCCCTATACGTATGCTTTAAACGTTATTGTTATATGGGACAAATAATTTGGAAATCAGTCTTTAACTTTTTATTGCCTTTAAGGTTTAAAAAGAGCTTAATCTATTTCACAGAAATGCTAAATATTGAATAAAATGTAAACCCTGTAGCACAGTGTTCATATGGCTGGATTTCTCATGATGAGCCAGACAATGTGTACTTCTCAGTAAAAGGAATGTATATCTCCTTCAGGAGTTTTATATGACTATTTAGCTGACTTAGCACATGAAGCTCATGGCTCTCATGTGCTGCAGAATGTACCCCAGTGTGGTTCCTAATAAATTCTTCCAGCTGGAAGAATCCATGCCTGTGGTAAAATCAACCTTACATCCTTAACCATTCCTTCCCAGAGGCTCCAGCGTATCTTATAGACCTGATGCACGATAAGAATGCTGAGATCCGCAAAGTCTGTGACAACACTCTGGATATTATAGCGGTAGGTTGATTTCCTTTGTCTAGCTAAAGAATCTACGTGATTAGAACCTGCCCATTTTCTGGAAGAGGAACAATATACATTAGCACATTGTCTGAAAATATTTTCAATATAATTTTGATTTTTTTCCTGTAAAATGAGTTGCAGAGTTGCATTTTTGTTGAAAAAAATATGTACGCTTTTAAAAATCCAGTAGTAGTTAAATTACATATTGTAAACATTTTGAAATGCTTTACTTCTCTTACTTTTCACAATTTGGAATGTCTGAACCACATTTGATGAGGACTGTAAGCTTTCTGTGTTTTTGTGGTTACCCAACAGCTTTTTTCATTTATTGGGATCTGTTTTGTTCAGTGATCTTTTCTATAATGTTTAATGTGAGTATTATTTGTTTAAAAAGGAAAGCATATGGGATAATATTAGAAAACCAATGTTCTGTAGCGTTCAATGATCAGAACAGGGTCTTGTCCGTCCTATGATTTTAGCTTAGTTCCCGGTGCAATGGTCTGCTCTTAAACACATAGTACAGAGGCCTGCAGTCCTACTGCCTCGTCTAATATCACCAGCTGAGCCATACTGAATCTGGTTAGTGTTGAAATGGGGCACTTTACCCCCAGTGCAATGTTATTGGACACTATGCTATTGGAAGTTCTGGTTCTCTGGTGAAATATTCCATAAAAATCCTTGCTACTCATGACCATGAAAATTTGCACAGTACTTCTTAGAGATCATATTCTTATTTAGGCAATCGCATCTCACTTTCCTAAGTTCCTGTTGGTGAATTCTGGTGGATGCACTTCTCTGGTAAATTAAGGAGTTAAGAGAGATACTGAAAAATTGCTATAACTTCATTCTTGTGGCTTTGTGTGTATAGTACTTCTTTCTTTCTTTCTTCTCTGTCTTCATTTAAACTGTTAAGTTTTTGTAGAGCTATGGTTTTAGCTCCCAGTGTATGACATAGTATTGTATTTCTTGACTTATTTTACTTTTACAATTAGTTATAAAAGTACATTACATTAGTTGGTAATGGCAAATGGCTAAAATTTGCCTAAAAGTACAAAATATTAATGTAGGCAATTTTGTACTTCATTGTGATGTTTTATCTATCAGTCAAGCTTTACTCACACTTTATGTAGAGGTGGGGCATGAAACCCTAGCTCTGCTAAGTCAGTGGGAGTTTTGCCATTGACTTCAGTGAAGCCAGTGTTTCACTTGGGATGAATTCACACTTACTGCCAGAATTCTGATGCGTGTCCTGCTCATAAGTCAGTCCACCAAGAGGAAAAAATAGTCTTGGGAGGCAGAACCCATTACTGTTTTGTGCGGGAAGATGGTTTTGTTTGATAAGAAGGGTCCTATAGTATTAAAGTAATATTTCTAGTCTTGAATATCTGAAGACTATCTAACTGAAAAGAATGGAGGAAATGTGAGAAATCTGCGTGTAAGTTGTTTAAAGTAAGACTGTTAGAATTCTGTTGCCTGTGCTTGTGAATCAGTCTACATGGCTTGGAATATATAATTACCTTGGAATTCCAGGTCATTTGTTAGTATCCCAGGCCAATCTGATAAAAGCCTTATTGATACAAATGAAGCTATGAGAAATGATTCCCGGGGAAGAACTATTGGGGAAAATTAATCAGGGATGAAGAGTAAAAAATGTTCTTTGGGAACAGTGCAGCTTTGAAAGTGATGATAGTCTGATACCAAAACCAAAGTTCAGCACACTGGAAAAATCATACGGGTGCATTTGTAGCCATTCTTGTGCTTTCTGTTTACTTGTACAATACAAGTTGCACTTTCAAAACTCTGAAGATGTGAAGGCTTCCTTGTCAACCACCCAATCCTCCCCCTCCCAGCCACCCCCCAGCAAAAGAGTCTGAGTTCAGTTTGCATCCTGCATCAGTTACTAGGTTATTTCCATCTCTGACCTCCTACAAGTCCCTTGTGTAGTATTAATTCCTTGTCCCTTTTCAGGCCACTGCTCACGTGAATTTTGTACTCTTAAACTGGACCCTGAGTTTGTCTCCTATGAATCAGTTATGATTACCTAAGCCAGTGTGACCTAGGCTAAAAACCTCCAGGAGCAATGATAAGGATACCCAGTGACAAGATGTCCTTTTGTTAAAGCAACAGGTTATTTACTGGAAGTAAAGGATTTTAGAGAAAAAAAAGATTTAAAGGAACAAAACACATATGTAGCTTGCTGGATATTTAACCATAAACCTGCGTGGGTCTGCGGATCCTAGACACCCTGTCCATGAGATCTCCGCAGCTTGGCTGGCATAGTTTGTTCCCTTTACTCACAATCCATTTCTCTTCCAGGTTTGGGTTGGGAGAGGGGAAAAAGGAAGAGGTTTTTCCCAAAGCTCTTCATCCATTTGATCAGCTCTTCCTGTCCCCTTTTCCTTGAGGCCAAGTTATTTTTTCACCATTTATAGTCCTGTGATCTGTTAGTTTTCAGCCTTGGCAGCATGAGGTTTGCAGCTTATTGGAGGCTGTATACAAGACTGCAAACTGAAAGTTTTGTCCATTGTCTTTCAAGTGTGTGTTTAGCTGTCATTATGTAGGACTGTTCTCTCTCCTTCTCTCCTCTGCCCCATGCCTTGATTGTTATTTCTCCAACTCCCTATTAAACTAGATTTATGCATTCATGTAGATAAAACATATTAAATATACAGTAACTTCTGTCATTGACAGGGCCTTATGCAGTGTTCGTGACATGGGCAGATCCTGGTACACTCTATTTTACTCTGTAGCAACTCCCCCTATCTTAATATTCTGAGGCCATGGACAAACATGAATTTTAACCATTTTAAAAGGGGAGAAAGGGAGCTTTCACTCAGCAGTATGTATCAGCCATTTCACTATAACTCTTAAGTCTGTATACTCCTGTGTAATGATAAAGGTATGCTAAGTCACAGTAACTTTACCCTGAATTGAAACGGTTAAAATTGCGATGGGTTTGCTGTACTTGTATTGGTACAGGAGCATACAGATGGAACTGTTACATTGTAAAAGCTTATTAGTATAATTTGATATTGATTAAGGCTGTGTGAAGCTTTGGTAACTGATTTGATTTGGAGGAGATTCAGGGACTGAATGACTTGAATTGGGAGACCGAGTAAAAGCTCTGAATTGATTTGAAGCATCCGATTTGATTCAGAAAAGTTTCAGCTGATTTGGAGATTCGGTCATAGACTAAACAGGCAGCTGACAGCTGCCTCCAGCTGGTAAGTCTGTTGGGGTTGGGGGAGGGGGGAAGAGAGAGGAATTGGGACTGGGACAAGCTGTTCAACCAGGGAGGAGTGCAGGGGGGCACGGGGAAAAAAGTCCCACACTCACAGGCTCTGGCAGCAGGGACTGGGGACTCATCGCAGAGCCCTCCCATGCAGCGCAGGGCAGTGGAGGCCAGCAGGGATTGCCCCCCTGCCTGGCATCTGTGCAGCAGCTGCCCCATGGCACAGGTGCAGCATGACTTTACAAGGCATCGTGTGCTGTCTGGGAGCTGGGACGGCTCCCTGTGTCAGCCAGAGCCCGGCACCACTCAACCCCAGTGGCCCCAGCTCCCAGGTAGCATGCAGCGCCCTGCTGAGTTGCGCTGCACCCGCGCCATAGGGCAGCTGCCGCACAGGTGCCAGGCAGAGGGAGGGGTGATCCCCACTGCCCCATGCTGCGTGGGGAGAGGGAGGGGGCGGGGGCTCTGCCACAGGCCCTCAGTCCCTGATCCCCATTGCTACAGCTGGTGAGTGCAGGGCTTTAAAAAAAAAAAAAATTGCCAGACTGCTGGGAACAGGGGGGGAGAGGAGGGATTGGGGAGTAGTGGCTGCACAGGAGTGGGGGGGAAGATGCTCTGCCAGGAGGCCACAGAGCCCCCACAGCTTCTGCTACAGCCGGTGAGTGCAGGGCATTTTTTTTTTTTTTTTTGAAGTGCCAGGACTAGGCTTGGGCCAGGCGGGGGATGGGGCTATGCAGGGCAGCCATGGGAGCTTCTCCTATAGCTGCCCAGGGAGAGGCAGGCACAGCTGGAGAAGCCACCTGGCTGTGCCTGCCTCTCCCTGGCTGATCCAAATCTCTCCGAATGGGTGCCAAATCTGAAGCTGATTCAGCTGAATTGATTCAGGACAGTGATCTGAATCCAATTACTGTCCTCCGAATCAGCTGAATCTGAATCGAATACTTTCCTATTTGTACAGGCTTAATTGATACAGTGTTACTACATTTGCCTGTATTCCGACTCAGCAAAGTTAATTCGATATATTTAGGACCTACTGAATTACTGGTGGAAGTGGCCTGTGTGGCAGTTCCTTTAATTTTACAGGTTCCCCTGTGCACACCCTTCCCCTGCCCCCCATGATTGGTGGAGGGGCCATGCCACTTGCTCCTGATTTGGCAGGGAGGCAAAAGTTTGGGTTTTAAATATGATGCCATTTTTACCTCCCAGCTGCTCAGAACCAAGCAACAGGGCTGTTGGGGCCCCTTGGCTAATCAACAGCAGGGGGGACATGCGGGGCAACCTGCAAGATTAAAGGAGCCACCACGCATCCTATTTCCACCACAAATTTGGTAGGTCCCTGGATATATTTTGGAAGTCTTGGCACTGACTGTCCACTAAACTATTTCAGTTAGTTCAAGTTGAGATATTATTTCTAGACAACTAGTTTGATTTGTTTTTTTCATCAGCCAGTAAACGGGACCAGAATGTTCTGCAGGCACATTTGTGTTTTGTCTTCTGCCAAATAATGTTGTCAACATTTCCAGAATCTTTTCCTAAGTATCAGTGCCTATATCATGCCTCCCTATGTCAAGGAATTGCTTAAAGCAGTACAGGAAAGCATAATTTAAAATAGTGGCTTAAAATTAAGGAAAGAAAAACCAAGGCTGACTGAAACAAGAAAATTTTTCACTGATAAGATTTTTCCTCAGTCTAAAAGATCTCCCAGTGGAAACAAACAGAGCAGTGTCACCTGAGACATTCAGAATGAAACTAAGATTATGGACAAAAC